GTAATAAACCCTTCAGCTTCTAAAAAAAAAAAAAAAAAGGTCAGACTGCTCGCCACACCGTAGACACAGGGCCTCGCTGCACTACTCACGAAATGTGTTTTTTCATGAGCACCGCACCGCTGCACTTAGGGCCTTGTCGGATGGCACAACTAACGAAACCAAACGAGCACCAAACTCGCGAGGCCTCGCGAAGCCCGGATCCACCATTTTGCTTCGTTTTTCGCCTCACCGCTCCACAGCACACACGAAAACTCTCGTGAGAACGCCCTGGCGAGAGTCGTGTGGGATTCGTTTCACTACGGTCTAAATTGTTGGACGCTACGATTTAATTTAGATTCCAAATTTTTGGATGAACCTCGGTTGGAGCGACGTGGCACACTCGTCAGATTTTGCAGCTCCCCCAGCCGACCAGCAGAGGACCTACGAGTTCGCGAGTGCTACAGGCAGGGAGGACTAGCGCAAGTTGATTACCTCGCGAACTTGGAGTCTGACAACATTCACGACTTCTCTTCTGACAAAGGTTGTGTGGGTGCTGTGCGGCGACTTGTTCGAGGAACGAAGTCGTTTTTTTTTTTTCGTTTCGTGCACCGTGCGACGATTCCCTTACTCGTCAACAATGCCGTAGTTTCACGCGTCAAGAGCTGTTAGATGCAACTCTTGCAAACTTCAACGAGTTGTCGTCGCTGCACTACTCTTGCCTCGTCACTCTTGAAAACGCCTTTCATGAGTTGTCAGGGCGCCGTCAGGCAAAGTCGACTAGAGCGCTCTTGTTCACCTGCATGCAACTTCAGGTTTTGCAAGGGAGGTCGGACGGTTTCTTGTAAGGCTGTCGGATTTCAAGAGTGAGTCGGGTCTGGATGGACAAGGCATGTTGTGGCTGTCGTGTAGTGCTTCTAGAGCACTGGTGAACTGCAACTGTTCACACTACCGTGCGTGGTCCCACTGTGGTGGGATTGCACCGCATGAACGAGCATGTACAATTCCATATTTTCAGTTAAAGGGGTGGGGGGACTGGCTGCCGAGTGTGCCCAGTGGCGGAGGGGCGGAAGGTGGCTGATGAACGGGCCTGTAGAAATCCCATTTTTCGGACCGGGGGGGAGGGGTAGAGGGACTGGCTGCGAGGAAGCGCCATCCTCCACAGTGCGTGTCGTTTTGTGGATGGGAAAATCCTGGTACTATCGAGTCCCATAACTGCCTAGAGTTCTGCTGTCGCTGCACTGTACTCTAGGAGAACTGTCAGCGCCTCAAGAGTGACTCATGAGGAGGACGATCTATAGTAAGTGCAACGACGACCGAACTCTAGGCCGTTTCGGGACTCTGACAACTCTAGACGCACTCTTGATTTTTTTAACGAGTCATGAGTAATGCAGCGAGGCCCACAAGTTGTGGCGAGTGTTTTCGGTTTCCCCGCCTGTGCACGGTGGTTTGTGGAGGCACTGGAGGGTGAGCCTCGGACCTCTCCACAAAACAACTTTTTGGAGAGTGCACGGCTTCAGGAGTGGAGATCAGGCAGACATAAAAAATTAACTATTTTGTAGAAGAAATATAGTGGCGAGTAAGTGCAACCCTCCCTCCACTTCGACACGATTCTCATCTTTTTCACTCTTCACCCATCCGCCACGAAATGTGGCGGATGGCGAGTAGTGCAACTAGGCCCTGAGCCAACTCGTGAATGGAAGTCCAGAAAGGGGACGGGTACACCCTGAGAATAGAACAAACATTTGTCTGTCCCAACCTCAGGCCCACTCACGAAATTTGAAGGTGGAGACTGTTGAAAATGGGCCTTGTACCGATGGGCCCAGCTTAGTTGGTACACCCTTGAACTGTTGAAATACAAACCTGAGTTCCAGCTCCACTGGAAGCAGATGAGTAAAATATAACACATTGTCACAAAAACAAACAAACAAACAAACAATTACGCTTGTGAATTACCTACGGCTGGTCAATCCGATGATGATAGGTTTTGCTCCAGTACTCGAGACTCGAGAAAAAATTTGGAAGTTTATCGAGAGCTGTTAGAGAGGAAATGCTCATGAAATTCCCGCCTTCGCTCCACTTACTCTAGAAGAGAGGAAACACTCATGAAATTCCCCCCTTCGCTCCACTTACTCTACAAGAGAGGAAACACTTATGAAATTCCCGCTTTCGCTCCACTTACTCTAGAAGGGGGGTCTCACGAAGTTGAATTCCACCACACCACATCGCTACCCAACAACAAAGCGGTTCGTTGGCAAACTGTGATTCCAAGTCCACTTGTGAAAATTGAGGCTGCACCAGGGGCATGGTTGACCACACTAGAAAAATGGAAAGTTGCAGGCTGTGGATTCTCGTCGTTTGGTGAGTTATTTCTGACAAAACGGCTATTTCGTCAAAACGGACATTTTATATTTTTTGAACGAAATTGAATTTGGCATTTTCATTATGATTTGGGTGCAAAAAGCATTGGAAATTGACAGTTTGGGGTACGGGACAAGAGGTATGGGGTTTGGGGTAAGGGATAAGGGGTAAGGGGTACGAGATAAGGGGTAAGGGATCTGGGGTAAGGGATAAGGAATAAGGGATAAGGGATAAGGGATAAGGGGTAAATGACAAGGGGTGAGTAGTATAGCGTATTGAGCAATGTTTGCTACCTTTTATACATTGTTTCTGTTACAAACCATTTCATGTCAGCTACATCTGCCTCCATGTAATCGTAATATTGAATAACACATACACACTACTCACGAGCCACTGTATCCAAAACCCATCGACGAGGTATCGCGGGTATGTCATCAGCGGTGCATACACACTACTCATGAGAAAGGCGGAAGGTGCCTCCTAGCCAAAAGCGATGCATACGTGAGCATGAAGACCCCGCATTCATTCGTGTCACGTTGTTTCAGAATGCCCTCTACGTTCCATATGTGATTGAAGGGTTTTGTGTCCACCTCTTTGCTTTGCGATTTCGATCTTTCGAATATGAACTTTGTAAATACGCGGGTCACTTTTCTCGTCCATTCCATGTCGGGGGCGAGAGAGTCATAAAATTCGAATTTCCTCATTTTGAAGTCAGTCACGACGAGGGTTCAGTGGTCCTTCTGCACGATATAGAAAGAGGCAATTATCAAGTTCATGTCACTTATAATTACGTCTTCGCACCAACGCTTCACCTCTCGGCCTCGATATCTCATTTCCTTGTCGAAAAGTTTGACGAACAAAAATGAGCTCAGCACCGATATTATAGGAATGCAACCCTTTCATGTTCTAATGACAGTCTCGTTTTCTGCGTCGCATTCTATGTGTGCTATTCTACACCGGTTGTCCAATGCGATGAGGTTGAGGTAGAAATTGATGACGTTGTCATTTAACCACTTGCGTTCGACGACGAGTAAAAATAAATCGTTTCGAGTGAGTTGCAATACTTCGTCCATGTTAATATCATGTGTGCTGACTATGGGATACCTATTCTCGTATTCGAGGATTATATGCGATCGTGCTTTCATCTCCCTTTTTGATAAAGAGGAAATTGCGAGACGAATTGTTCACCCTCTTTTGCACATTCTTGTATTCGTTGTTGTCATTTGCACTGCACACTACAAGCATGAGAAAGACGACATTGACGCCAGTGGGAGGGGGGAGGATGGTGAGATCCTTTGTATATGGGCAAGTGCCTCAATGACATGAGATTCGATGCATTGAAATCATGTTTTCAACAATTGGAGTAATTTTATACTTACATGGACAACATTCATGTATGCAATCAATCAATCATGAGTCCTGCCCCCTTTGGTACCCCATGGGATACATGCGCATACATGCATTCACGTCTCGACGAATATATATATATATATATATATATATATATATATATATATATATATATATATACAGTCTGTAGAGTTTTCCATCTGGTGTGGGTGAGTGATAGTCTACTTTGATTTTGG